TGGGTACCCTCTCACCCTGCTTTCTGTGGCAGTGACAGGATGAACACAGGGAAGGTGACAAACACCCCCAAGGCTCTGACTGTGATTTCGTTCATTGATATGACATCATTTCCCCCAACCCCAGAGAAAGCAGTCCTGGAGTTCAGGTTCCGGAAAGCCTGGGTGGTGGTGGGAGGGGAGCTCTAAGCCAGGAGACCAGGGCTGTCGCAACCGATGCCCCCACTAACTAGTTGTCTAATCCTTAACGAGTCACTTGGTCTTTCCAGGCTTCTGTACCTCGTCTGTCAAGTCAAATGAAGGCTGTGGAATCGCTGATCTCTCCAAATCCCTACAGCCCCGCCGTTCTATTCTGGGTCTGTGTGCACCTGCAGACAGGGACGTGGGGGCGGGAAGGGCCCAGGAGAGAAGCCAAGGAAGGCAGGAGAAGACCTTTCACCTTAGCAGTCCTGAGACCTCGTGTGCCGTGCAGCGCAGGCTTGTCTCAGATTATCCACATAACGGACGGAGCGCTCGCCTTCCTCTGCCCGCGGACACAGCTTTCGGGTCCCTGGGGGCAGCAGCTGCTTGTCTGAGACCTCCACCCCCAGCTTCCATCCTCCACTGGGTCCTCTCAGAAACCTGTCACGGTGTTTCTGGATGGATGCCCACAGAATTTTAATCCCGCTGCCACGAGGGGGGCGGGGGAGGGCTGCATGTAACAAAAAGCAAAACCAGGTGATGGCCTGGCTCTTTCTTTATGGACCTTGGTTACCTCCCAGGCTTGGAACATGGGGGGACCTTGGTCAATGGCACCAGCTCTGAGCCCTGCCTGGGGCCCAGGGAGGTCCCCTTAAGTGAAGGGTGTGTCCTGAGACTTTCAGATGCTTGGTAAACGGCTGCTTCCTTACATTGGGTGTTTTCTGTAACATCCCATTTTCTTCCTTTCCCCAATAAGCATTTGTACCTCCAGTAAGTGGATAAAAGCAAAGAAAGAAAGATGTTCCCTGTCCTTGGGGAGCCTCGCTGAGGCCCCTGACTTTACCCAGCTTGAAAAGGTGCAGTCCTGCCCTGACCGGTTTGGCTCATTGGATAGAGGGTCAGCCTTTGGATTTAAGGGTCCCAGGTTCGATTCTGGTCAAGGGCATGAACCTTGGTTGCGGGCACATCCCCAGCGGGGGTGTGCAAGAGGCAGCTGATCAATGTTTCTAACTCTCTATCTCTCTCTTCCTTCCTGTAAAAAATCAATAAAATATATATTTTTAAAAAGATAAAAGAAAAGGTGCAGTCCTCCCTCTTTGGTGGGAAGACCTCTGGGGAGGAGTCCAAAGGCCCCGCCCCCCCCCACTGCTTCTGGTCAGATATTCACTCAGTAGGTTTGCACCCAGGAAACCTCACTTTATTCCTCCCAAGCCATGCAGGAGAGGAATAGACTCCTGGAAAATGCTCCTGGCTGGTAACCAATAGCCTGATCAGAAAGAAGACTCTATCTCTTCATTGCGCCTCCTGTTGTTGGGATAACATTCATGAAGACAACGCCTCAAGACCAGGGTTTCTGGCATTAACTGGTTGTTTGATCCTAGTTGTCACTGCTCTGTATCCATAGGCCATGATCACTGGAGATTATGAAAACTCGAAGCAGGGGTAGGTTTGGAACTAAATCACAGACAGAGTCACGTGGGGCAGCTGAAGGAGATCATGAAGAGCTTGGAAGTCAGACAGAAGTGAGTGCAAACTCCACACTTGCCAACTGTATGGCTTGGGGAGTTACTGACCATCCCTGACACTCTGTCTCTAGGGCGGGGATGTCACTACCTTCTGGACTGAGGGGTTAAGAAAATTAAATGAGGTTTTGCACTGGAAGTGGCTGCCCACCAACCAGTCCCCAGTTATAAGCCAACCAGAGGCCCGGTGCATGAATTCGCGCACAGGTAGGGTCCCTTGGGGTGGCCTGCAAAGATTGGGCCCCAGCTTGTACCCCCAGCTGGGCAGCCCCACAGCCCTGCCTGGTACCCTGCCTTGGCCTGGTGCCGCCCCCTCACCTGGTCCATCACCTGCGGGGGCAATCATTCTGGGCCATGCCCTCCCCCCTCACCTGCTCCACCATCCTGCTGTGGTCCCACTCTCATCGGGGGCCAATGGGGGGAGGGTTTGCCGACACTGCCATGTTCCACACTGCCTCCTAGTGGTCAGTGCACGCCATAGGGAGCAGTGGAACTCCCAGTTGAACAATCTGCATATTAGGCTTTTATTATATAGGATATGTTACTGCTATTACCCTGTAAGAGCGAGGGTCAATAGATTTTTATCAATGGTCACAGTTTGGTGTAGTCTGGGGTGTGTATGTGGCCCTGGACCTCCTGTGGCCACCACTGCCCACCTGACCGTCCTTTCTAGGGGCAGTCCTCATCCCTGGCCATTTCCCTCATCTCCCTAAAAGAAGTGGTGGCAGGTTGCATATTTTTATTTTTAAAGACTTCCTTCCGGGTGTTTGACCCAGCATTGCAGGTGTCAGTGAGGGTTTCTCTGGCCACAATGGCCTTAGGGAAAGGTGGCCACTTCCCCTGCCAGGTGTCAGGGAAAAGCCAACAGACCGGGATTGGGGGCCCCATCCACTGCCTGGCTCTCAGACAGCCCAGGGATTGCCTCTGGAAGCTCTGCAGGAAATTAGGGCCCCACCCACCGTCCCATCCGCTGGGGGAGACCCAGATCTCAGGGACCTGCCTAGCTCCCCTGACCTGGGGGCCAAGACCCCGCAGCGGCCCTCCCCACACCTCAGCCCACGAGGGAATGGAGCCCCTGAGAGCCCATCAAAGGTGCCTTCCATTCAGAGTCCCGGGTGGCCGCTGGCTTCCAGGGCCCAGTGCTGCCCAGAGGACTGAGGGGCCACCCGTCTGTGGGACCCGCTCAGGACAATCTCTCTCTCTCTCTCTCTCTCTCTCTCTCTCTCTCTCTCTCTCTCTCACACACACACACACACACACACACACACAACAATGAAATAAAGCAATAGGCCAGGGACCAACTCCAGGGCCCGATACGCCCACCGGAACTGGACCTGAGTGGGCTCGCTTAGGGGCCAAGGGCCTGGGAGGAGAAGAGGGGGAACAGTGTGACGGCCCATCCGGCCCAGGCAGGTTTTCTGGGGTCAGGCAGGCACGCCTGGCTGCGATCCTAGCCCCTTGGTGTCTCCCCCCCATCTCTCTCTCTCTCTCTCTCTCTCTCTCTCTCTCTCTCTCTCTCGCTCTCGCTCTCGCTCTCGCTCTCGCTCTCTCCCTCCCTTCCTCCCTCCCTCCCTCGTTCCCAACAGCTCGCCACGACCCCCGCCCCAGCCCCCTCCCTCTCCCCGCCCGCCTCCGCCCCCATTCTCAGAATTGAGTAAAAAAATTCTCAGCCAAACCTCCCACCTCTCCCCCCACCCCTTCTCCGCCCCCCAACCCAACTCCCTTTAAAAAACCTCTTTCCTCCGGCCCCTGCACTCTTTGTGAATGAGGGCAGGGAGCTCGGCCCTTCCCCCGCCCAGGAGCCACGCCAGACCTCCGCACTCAGAGGACTGTTTGTTAATAGTCCAATTAGATAATTGCCATCTTTCACTCCTTTTGCTCCGCATTTCCCATAAAGGGATGAATGGGGAGAGCGGAGTGGAGAGGGCTTCTGCCCCGGCGAGGTGACGAGAAGGGCTGGAGCATGCTCCTTGCACAAGGCCATGCGCTTGAATTGAATCATTGTAGCCTAATCAATGCTCTTATTGGATTACTGGCTGTTGCTTTTCTCAGAGATATTGTAGCAGAGACAATGCCATAGCTAGGGGGAAACTTTTTTTTTTTTTAGAGCAGATCTCACAGTTGAGTTTTTCTAGGCTCCCTCTCTCCCTCTCCCTCTCCCCCCCTCTCTCTCCTGCTGGACTCCGAGCACAAAGCTGTCCTTTGAATGGGCTGCTCGCTCGGGGCTGCTGGAGGTGCGGCGGGCTTGAAAAAATCCGGCGGGGACTCAATGCGGAGAGGTGGCCGCTTAAGATGGCTGTCAGCATCGAGGTGTGTTGAGTTGTTTGGGGAGAAAGCTTGACTTTTTAGAGCGTGTGGTGGGGGGATATACTTTTGGGGGGGAAACTTTTTCTCCTCTCCTCCCCCCCATTCTTCTTCTTCTTCTCTTTCCTCTTCTCTGGAGGCAACTGGGCTGCAGGGTGTGCAGAGGGGTGTGTGTGTGCCTGTGTGTGCGTGTGTGTGCGTGTGTGCGTGCGTGCGTGTGTGTGTGTGTGTGTGTGTGTGTGTGTTTCTCCCCCCACCCCCATTCAGCTCTATCTGTGGAGTGTGCAGAAAAACCCCTCTGGCCAGGATGTGAGCAGGAGGGTCAAAGGCAAAGGGAAAGTTAATCACGCCGGGCTCGGGGTGCTCACCATTCAGCATGCATCTTGCCAAAAGTTTTTTCTGGAAGTGCGAGTCTTTGATTGTGTGTTTCCTGAAAGACCCAATCATTTCCGTGTATTCGCTGGCGGACACCCCTCCTTGATTGGGGACAAGGACAGAAACCATCCATTACGGATCTGATATATTATCCAAACAATTTAGTGTATTCATGAGGTAACCGAAACGCGGGGGCCGCCGCGAAATTGCCCGTAATCAATTGCCACCACCGCGAGCGAGCGAGCGAGCGTGCGTCCCCCCGGGCGGGCGCCCGGACCACTGCCACCGCCCTCCCCGCGGCGGCGGGAGCCTCCGCATCGCCGCGCCGCCTGCGCCCCGCGCCGGGGACCCCGGGGACGCCGGACAGACGCGCCCCGAGGACGCGGGGGACGAGGCGGCCTGGCCGCTGCTCCGCCGGCATCTCCGGGATCGCCGACCCGCCCGCCGCCGCCGGGACATCCATCCTCGCCTCTCGCCTCCCTCCGCGCCGGGCGGAGGGGCTGCATTGTCCGCGTTTTGTCCTCCCCACTCCGCCTCTTCTTTTCCTTCCTTCCTTTTTTTTTTTTTTTCTCTCTCTTTTCTTTTGGTTTTTTGTTTTGTTTTGTTGCTTTTGCCTCTCCCATGTTCGGGAAACCAGACAAAATGGACGTCCGGTGCCCCCCGGACGCGGAGGCGGCCCGGGGCGCCAAGAGCGCGCACCGGGAGGGCCGGGAGGGCCGGGGCGCGGAGGGCACCCTCCCCGCCGCCTTCCTCAAGGAGCCGCAGGGCGCCTTCCCGGCGGCGGGCGCGGCGGAGGACTGCAGCAAGAGCAAAGCGGCCGCCGCGGACCCGGACTACTGCCGCCGCATCCTGGTGCGAGGTAGGCACGGCGGCCGCGGGCGCGGCTCCGGGGGCGGCGCCGGGGCCCGGGCTGCGCGCCCGCCCAGACCGAGACCCACCCCGGCGGGCCGGGCGGAGACGGGGTGCGGCGGGGACTTGGGGGAAAGTTGCCGGCCGTCCTCTCCCGGGGTCCCGGCTGGCCCGATGGGCGCCCGCAGCCGGGGCGCGGTCTCCGGGGACCGCTCTCCTCCGAGCCCCGAGCGCCCCGCGCGCCGAGCTGCCGGGGAAGCTTGGGGTCTGCGCGGGCGGCCCGGGCTCCGGGCTGCGGCCTCCGATCCGGGAAGGAGCAGGGAACTCTGCGGGACTTGTGCGCGCCCCGTGGCCCGGAGGACCTCCCGGAACCCAGTCCGGAGCCCGGTGGCGGACTCCCGCGCTCCGGCGAGATGAGCGCACCCGAGGGGAGCGCGGGCGCGGAGGAAGGACCGCCGGCCGCCGGCTCCGGCCCAGCCAGTCGGCGCGCTGGGCCCTGGGCCCCGGCGCCGCGATCGGGGCTGGAACGGCGGCCTCGGTGCTCCGCGGGGCCCGGCTCTGCCGCGCGGGGTGCGCCCGGCTGGGGCGGGGAGGGAGGCCGGCCCGGCCCGGCGCCGCCCCCGCCAGCCAGTTCAGCGCCAGGCCCGCCGGCGGGACTCGGTCCCACCTCCTCCCGCCTCCCGGGCTCCGGAGGGAGAGAGACCCAGGGGTGGGGGTAGGGGACGCCGGAGCGCGGTCCAGTCGACTCGCTCCGGAGCTGGGGCCTGCCCGACCCGGGCTGGAGAGTGCGGGGACCCTCAGGCTACCGGGGACCCAGACCTCGAAGCCCAGGCCCCCAAGTCGGGAGGACCATCAGCAGATCTGGTGTTGCTCCCCCCTCTTCTCGGTCCGGAGGGATTTACAAAAGGCAAAAACCTGTTTCTCCCTCCAGTAGGCGTGTGGCGGCTGCCCCTGGCCCCCCAATACACAGTCTTTGCTCCCCCCACTCCCTCCGCCTCTGAACTTGAGGCCAGAGAGGTGGAGGGAGAGCAGAGCGCCCTGGCGGCTGATACTTTCCCTTTCCCCAGATGCCAAGGGGTCCATCCGGGAGATCATCCTGCCCAAGGGCCTGGACCTGGACCGGCCCAAGAGGACGCGCACCTCCTTCACGGCGGAGCAGCTCTACCGGCTGGAGATGGAGTTCCAGCGCTGCCAGTACGTGGTGGGCCGCGAGAGGACCGAGCTCGCCCGCCAGCTCAACCTCTCCGAGACCCAGGTACCAACCAGGGCCAGGCCGCGGGCAGCTCTGCACCGGCCTCTGTCCGCCCCACCGCCCCCAGCCAGCGCTTCCGCAGCGCACGGGCTGGCTCTGGTCAGAGCCTCCCGGGAGGTGGAGGAGATAGAGAGGGTGGGGAAGAAAGGTCTGAGCTTCTTTCCCTTCCATAAGCCATTCTCTCAGACCCTTAGGCATTCCAGGTCCATCCTCTGCTCACTATTGGGGCTCCGGAGGCCTGAATACTGTCCCTGTGGAATCCTTTCTGGACCCCGTCTTGAGAATCCCTTGCTTGTGTCTGCGCTAAAAGAACAGATGTTCACCCTGCTTTGGCTGCCTTATTTTGGCCAAGTTTCCGGGCATCACCCCCTTCTGGGGATGAGAAGCCTTACCCAACACCCAGGTCCATCTGCAAGGGGCCAGAAACTTAGGGCACAGCAGACAGCCCGGGTTAGAAAAGTGCACATCCCTGATGTCTGCCTGTGCAAACCAGGCTGCCGTGGCCAGTACAGCTTCCCCTGGCCCTCTGCTTCCCAGTCCCGTTCTCAGCCTACAGCACCCACTCAGACATCCAGGAGGCCCCTGTCCTCGGTGCCAAAGAGGCCCGGACTGGAAGACAGATCGAGGGCCTGAGAGTCAGCACTGCCAATGCTGCTGTAGGTCTTGAGCTTCTATGAAATCCATATGATGCTCCTATGGAGCTGGCTGGCTGGACTCAGCCCCGAGAGAGGGCTCTGGGGCCTGGCCAGGGCATGGCACCAGCTTGGCTCAGGCCTGGCAGACGTTGTTTTCCTAGGATCAGTCCCTTTCCCCATGCCCAGCCCTGAAGCAGGTGGGGAACCTTTTAGGTCTGAAATCCGGACAGACAGGGCAGACGCGCTTTCTGAGCCTGCGTGGGCCTGGCCGCTTTCCCCTAGTGTCTCTGCTCCCCTCTGAGTGCAGCTTAAAAGATCCAGATGGGATACTCTTGCCTTGTGGCTGCCATACTCCGCTGTGTGCCACCAGCTAGGCCTGAAGTGGGGCTGAGGGAGAAGGGAAAGTGAGAGGGGAGGGTGGCAGAGGGAATTTAGTCCAACAAGGCCTCCTGACTTTCTCCTGCGGCTCCAAAGTTCCGGATGGAGCGTGTAAGAGTGGTAAATTGAACATCCCCTCAGCCCCTCCAATCCGGCTCCTGGTGAGAGGAGGTGGGGAAAACTCGGACAAACTATTCTTCCTGCAGCCACCTTCCCTGCTTGCTGCTAGATGGTGGTCCGGTCCCACCTTGATAACAAGAAACAGCTGCTGTAGCCTCACCTGCCATTCTGGGGCTGGGGGGAGGTTAAATAAGAGCTCCCCCTCCCCCGTTGGCCAGGGGCCTGGGTCCAGTGTCCAGGGTCCGGGTAGGTAGGTCAATGCCTCCCCACCTTCCCCCACCTGCCTTCCCACTCAGCATCTTCAGGTCAGGCCCCACAGGTCTGCGCCATCACCCAGTGAAATCCCTTCTGGTCTTCTTTTGAGTGAAGGTTGTGACATTTTTATTACTTTAGTGGGAATCTCAGCCAGCCTGGGCCTGCTTCCGTGACTGGGAAGTGCAGCCTAACAGAGCTGTGTCCCGCCACCTGGGGGTCCCCACTCCCCCTGGCTGCTCCCAGCTCCCAGCCTGACCTCTCCCGCCCGAGGGTGGGACTAGCACTGGGACTAGGACTGGGGCTAAGGCTGGGGATGCGGGAAGGTCCCCATCCCAACCCTCCTCCTCCCCAACCTGCACACCCCATAGCCTGCTTCTCCTGACGCCCCGTCTGCCCTTGCTCCTCTCGCCCCGCGCGCTCCAGGTGAAGGTCTGGTTTCAGAACCGGCGCACGAAGCAGAAGAAGGACCAGGGCAAGGACTCGGAGCTGCGCTCGGTGGTGTCGGAGACGGCGGCCACGTGCAGCGTGCTGCGGCTGCTGGAGCAGGGCCGCCTGCTGTCGCCGCCCGGCCTCCCCGCACTGCTGCCCTCCTGCGCCACCGCCACCGGCGCGCTCGGCTCGGCGCTGCGCGGGCCCAGCCTGCCGGCCCTGGGCGCGGGCTCCGCCGCCGCCGCCGCCCCGGGCCCCGCGGGCGCCGCGTCCCCGCACCCGCCGGCCGTGGGCGGCGCCCCGGGGCCCGGGCCCGCGGGGCCGGGGGGACTGCACGCGGGCGCGCCGGCCGCGGGCCACGGCCTCTTCGGCCTGCCCGTGCCCTCGCTGCTCGGCTCCGTGGCCAGCCGCCTGTCCTCCGCGCCCTTGGCCGTGGCCGGCTCGCTGGCCGGGAACCTGCAGGAACTCTCCGCGCGCTACCTGAGCTCCTCGGCCTTCGAGCCGTACTCGCGGACCGGCAGCAAAGAGGGGGCCGAGAAGAAGGCGCTGGACTGACTCGCGGGGCCCCTGTGTTTATATGTGTGGTCTCTGTCGTGGTGGTGGTGGTGATGGACGCGCGCGAGGTAGGCGCCGGCGGCGACCCCGGCTCCCGGAAGACCCCCGGGCAGCTCTCCTTCCCAGCCAGGCTCTGCTGCCAGTTTTATCTCATCTGGGCTGTTTATTTCTACATCCTTCCCCCCATCCCCACCCCCCCAAAAAAAATCTTCCTCTGAATCCAGGAGAATCCAAAGAATTAGAAAAAAGGCTCTAACAAGTTAGCCAACCCGGTGCCAGCGCCAACCCGTGCCTGGCCCTGGAGGGGGATGGCCGGTTCCGAGGCCGGAGCGCGGGACGCCTGCTCCGGGCTCTGGGTCGGGCCGCTGCGGCCCTTGGTGGTTCAAGTCTTGTGAGTATTTGGAAGAGAAAAGCTGCACGCAGAGCGCAGGGGGCTGAACAGGCTGGCAGGTCCCCTTTAGACCAAAAGAAGAAACCCGTTCCTCCCTCTCGTCGCTGGAGAAACCATGGCCGCGGGGAGCCCCTGGTCCCCGCTTTGCGGACCTCCCCGGAGAGCGGGGGGCGCGCAGCTCGGGGCGGACAGAGCCCGCTGCTGCCCCATCGCCGCCTCCTGGGCTTCTGGACCCAGGACCCGGGCAAGCGGCTGGGGAATCGTCTGATCCGATCAGCAATAATCAGGGATCGCCACCGCGCGCAACCAGGGGACGTGGAACCGGTTTTAAAACGCTCCTCGCTACGGAATCTGGCAGGTCTAAGGAAGAAGGCGCCACGGGGCGGTGCCAAATTAAAGCTAACCGTTTGCACTGCAATTTTAAAGGGAAAAGCAAAACGAAAAGCCGGCGCTGCGAGTGGAAGAAGAAAATCCAGCATCATCTTCGATGCGGCGGGGCGGCGGCCTACAGCTGCGCGCCGCTCAGGGAGAGCGCGGCGTGTCTCCGTGGCGCTCCCCGCGCCGCCTCCCCACGCGTGGCGGTGGGCACACTGCCGGGTTTGCAGACAGATCCCTGCCCTGCGCCTCTAGAGTCCTCCCCGCTCCTGGATTCACAAAACTCTCCCGACATGGAGGAACCGCCCCGCTTGATTTCAGAGCAGAATTTTTAGGAGCGAGAGGCGGGGGACAAAGCCTGGGACAGCGGTGCGGCCCATTCTCCTCCATCCATCCAGATGGGCACCCTGTGGTTGGGAAGCAATCCTCCCCTAAAACCTCCAGGGTTTCTCTGGCCTCCCTGTCTGAAACCTGGACCTCACCGGTGGTGCCACCACAGCCGTCCCCACAGCCACGCCACCCGCGTTTTAACCAAAACCACAGACGCCAGTGTCTAGAATGTATCCCTCCATCGGAAGCCAGCCTAGAGCATTTTAAAAATAGTCCTTTTATTGTAAATTATTTACGTCGGAAGCTTTTTTGTTCCCTCTTTTTAGGCAAATTATTTTTAGTGGAGAAAAAAATAATGAACGATGATTCCACGCGGGTAGGTGTCCCGGAATCCTGGCTACTAACTTTGTTCTGAATGTTTTGGATATTTGGATGTTTTGTATTTATGTGGTGAGAGTGAAATATATCTATCTATGATGATAAGTGCCGTGCATTTTGGTCTTGTGATTGAAGGAGAAAACAAAAACAAAAAAACGGAAAGGCAGACCGAGCAGATGGGGCTCAGCCTGGGGGGTAGAGGGTGGCAGCTTGGGCCGGGAGAGGTCCCCTGCGCTCTGAGGATGAGGTGTGGGGGTGAGAGACAGGCTGTGAGTGTTCCTCCACTGGTCTGAGAATCTCTTCTCCAGCCTCTGTCCCAGGGGTGTCCGCCCAAACCCCTCCACCTCCCACTTTATGTTTCTGATGTTTAGGAACTTGTCTCAGGACTGTCCTGCCTCCTCGGGCTGCTGGTTTCTATGGTTCTCCAGCGGCACCTCCAAGCCGGCCAGGCAGCTCCCTCTCCTTTAGGATCTTCTCTCCCCTCAGAGAGAAACTCTGGAGGAGCAAGAGAAGGAAGTAGCCCCTGCAGGGATGTCTGGAGGAGCAAGAGAAGGAAGTAGCTCCTGCAGGGATGTCTCTCCCATCGCACCTGCTCAGTACTTATGCGGTGGTGATGGATGTGGACGGTGGATATGGCAAAGGGAAATCTTGGGGATCTGGGAGGGTACCCCAGGACTCTCCTAGCCTGAGGGGCACAGAGCCCTTCTCCGTGGGCCCACACACCTCGGGCACAAGAGGGGCCAAGTTCTCTCTCACACACACACACACACACACACACACACACACACACACACGTACTGTGGTCCCGGAGGAGGCAGGCTCCCGGTGTGGTTGGAGGACCCTGAGTTTGGTGTGGGCCCGGGCGTCACCGGGTTGAGGACCTTCACCATGAACTGAACCCCCGGGTTTGCTGGGAGCAGCCCCCATAGACCTTTTACTTCTGTTTCTCAAAGTCGCTACACACACCCATCTGATTTTGTCCCCTCCGCATCCACCTCTCCTTCCTCCTCTTCTACCTTTTTCTTCTCTTCTCTCTTACAGAACCCTGGGCTCCAGGATCTTTCTCTCCTGCAGGCTGTCCATCTCTCCACCCCCCGCCCCTCACCTCCAAGTCCTTTCTCTCTCTTCCCTCTGTCCCTGTCTCTGCTCTGCTCTCATTCTCGTTCCCCCCCTCTTTCTCTCTTCCTCTTCCTTCCCTCCCTCCCTACCTCCCTGCCTCCCTGCCTCCCTGCCCTCTGTCTGCCATGGTGGCCCCAAGGCCAAGGTGTGGGTGGTTCTAGCTGTGGTTTCAGGGCTGCTGGTTGGGGCTAGTGAGGGAGAGAAGGTGGCAGGATTTCATGGAACAAAAGGAAAACAAAATCCCAGCTTCAGGGTCCCCAACAAGCTGGGTCCCCTCCCCCAGGATCCTTCACCACTGCACCCTGCCCCTGCCAAGCAGATCCCATAACAGCTACCCCTCCTCCCCAATCTGCCCCTTTCTCCATTTTGCATTCTTATACCTAAAAGGGGAAAGAACCAGTTATTCCATCTCCTCTGCGCCAGCCTCCCTTCCCTCCTGGCTTTGGGGAGAGCTGCTGAGCTCTCTGCCTGCCACTCAGGGAATGCAATTGTCCTTAAAGAGTCTCTTCTGCATAGAAGAACCACACTTTCAATTAAAAAAAAAACATTTCTCGACAATTCATCTGATTTTAGTGCTTGTTTTATTTTCCTTCCTTTTCCAAGCGCCTCCAGCGAACTGCCTGGTCCCTGGAGGCCTCTGGATTCCAACTAGTGATTCAGGTCAGGGAGGAGGGAGGTGGCCTCCGTGGCAACAGCTGGCCCTGCCTGCAAGAAGGTGGAAGGGGCATCTGGGGGTCAAGGAGAACAGCCGAAGGTGTGTGTGTGTGTGTGTGTGTGTGTGTGTGTGTGTGAGGTTGGAAGAAATCTCATGCCTAGGCCTGCACAAAGCAACATTTGAGCTCGCTCAGAGCAGAAAGGAAAAGGAAAGGAAAACTCTTCCCAAATTCCTGTGAGTTTGGTGGTCAGGGGTGGAAGAGGTGGACAGCCGCCTGGGAGCTGAACTGGGACGCATGCTCACAGCCACACCTGCAGTGGGCCTTCCCCCGAGCTGATATATGTTCGTCACAACTGGCACTTAGCAGCCTTTCGGAGTTTACAAACAGCCTTTCACAGTCACCATCTCCATCCCTCCTCACTTTCAGAGGCTCAGCCTCATTTTAAAGAGAGACACACAGACTTACAGCAATCAGACGACTTGCTCAAGGCCACATGGGCAGAGCCCCAAGACTGTAAGCTCCTCCTCAGGCCAGGGCCTCTCCTTTCGGTTTCTTTCTTCTTCTCTTCCTCTTCCTCTTTCCTCCCCTCTCTCCCTTCTTTCCTCTCTTTTCCATTTTTCCTTCCACTTGTGCTCCAAGTGTCTGGCTCATCATGGGACCTGAACCCTTTAGCCTCTTCCCATCCACAGCTGCCCATTCCCACGTCCAGCCCTCTTTCACTCCACCAGCGGCCAAGGAGTTCCTTGGTGCCCCATCAAGAGGTCTGTCTGCATGTCTTCCCTGGTTCTGTTTTCTTTCCTGCCAGAACCCTACCCTCTCCTACCCTCTAGAATGACATCTTTGAACCTCTTACCCACTCTGCCTTATACTTCCTTAATGTTTTTTTAATGGACGTATCACATTCATATGGTAAACATCTATACGGTAAGTACAGTTGATGAGTTTACACACACACACACACACACACACACACACACACACACACCTCTTGAATTGTTCCAGTGAAATTTTTGAACTTGTCACCTTAGGCCACAGGAAGAAATGCTGTCATGTTGGTGTGACACAGAACACCTAGGAAGTTTTCCTAAGGCATCTTGAAGCCATTAAAAGTCATGGATGCCTTCTAAATCCCTGTTGTCCGGAGGTCAAGGACTTAAGCTGATCAGAACTATTATAGAATCTACCAGGTCAGGGTTTCTCAAGATACAACTGAAAACCACTTGCTTCAGAACCACCTGTGGACTGTTTAAAACGCAGCATCCTAACCCTCAGCCCCATCTGATGAATCAGAAACTCTGGGGATGGGATTCAGGAATGTGTGTTACTGGCAAGTTTCCCAAGTGATGCTTACCCATGAGAATCTTTGCAATGGGCTCCACTCAATGGCCAACTCCCCAAACACTGCAACCTCCAGCACCTGGCCCTGGGCCTGGCATTTGGGGGGAATACAATGCGTGTTTGTTATACATATTAATCCACATTTTCTGACACAGTTTAGCGTTTCTTGTCTCACATCATAGTATTGTAATTTAACACCATTTCTACACTGAGAAGTCTTTACATTTCAGAGTTTTGCTACACGAATAGGTTTTATTTTGATGAAGCAGGAGAGGAAAAGGAATAGATTTTGGTGGTTTCTTGGGTCTCAGGAGCGTCTTTTATAAACCCAAGTAGGACCCTCTTGCTGGCAAAGCTGTCCCCTTTCAGACTTGGGAGTGTGGGGAGGGCAGAAGGAGAGTTCCCCAGATTTG